GGCTTTGGGGCGCCGCGTGGGCAGCTACCCTGCCATAGGTGGCCGCATTCCTCCATCTAGTGCGGAGATGATGGACGTTGGGGGCATCCCCCCCAAACCTGAATAAGGTCCATGATCTCCACCCTGGACCAGGAAGGCGCCTGCCTTCTCCGGGCCCTGTCAGGCTCCTGGGAGCTGGCAGACTGCTCCTGGGGAGCGGTGGAGGGCTGGCTGCCAGTGGCTTGCTGGCTCATGTTTTGGGGCCACTGGGTCGGGGCAGTGACTGCTGGCTCTGGGCTGGCAGGCTTGGAGCTGGCACAGGCACTGTAGCCAGAGTCAACCCCTTTAAGGGCTCTGGGGCGGGGGATGGGAGAGGAGTGTTCTTGGTTGAGGCTGGAGTGGCCACCAGGGCACCCTGGGAAGGCTGGAGGCTCCCTGTTTCGATATAAGTGTCTACACAGCACTTATTTCAAAATAGTTGTTTTGAATTTAGTGCTATTCCTTGTGGAATGAGGTTTATCAAATTTGAAATAAGCGCTCCGCTATTTCGAATTTATTTCAAATTTATTTCGAAATAGCGGTTTGACTGTGTAGAGACGCTAGGAAAGTTATTTTGAAATAAGGGCTGTTATTTCGAAATGACTTTGTTGTGTAGACATACCCCCAGGGAGTTTTAATTAGATATATTATTTTTCTTCATTTCTTTTCCGTGAGACTGGTGGTGCATTGTTAACTGTCTGCTGCTCCAGTTCAGTGGTGCATCACTGCTCAGCTGCTGCTCAGTGATGTCGTGTGAAATCTTTGTAATGAAATATTTATTCATTTAGTTGGATTTCAATAGCACACAAGAGGATAGGCACTGTATATATATATATATTTAATAAAAAAGAGAGTACTTGTTCCAGGGATTTTTCTGCTTAAATGCAAGTTAGATTTAGCAATCTATAGTGAACCTTTGGCTGCCTCATCTTCAATTTTCTCATTAATCCACCTCTGCTGGGACCACTTCTAAAATTCAGAATCTCTGAGAAATTTTCAAAAAGCAGCCACTTAAGAGGAAAGTTGTAATTTTGCAGGGTAAAATCCATGTTTGCAGGGGAATGACCTGCATGCACGATGGGCAATTTTCAGTGATGGAGCCATGACTGGTTATATATCTTCAATAACTTTTAAAGTTTCTATGGTTCCAAGCCATTTGCAGTAAAGATTCATGGTTTTTAAGACAGTGGTTCTCAAAGTGTGGTCCTTGAACTGTCTTGCCTCTGGCTTGGGGCTCACCACACACCCCTTCCCCCTCACAGTGGGGAGCCCACGCTGGCACTCCAGCCCTGTACCCCTTCCGCGATTTCCAGCTTTCTGCTGTGCGGGGAGGGTCGGTCTCACAAACTGGATCCTGCTTAGAGGGGGAGTAAGTGGTTGCGTGCACTGCCACTCCCCTTCCCCCTGGCTGGGGGAATGGCAACACAGGAAACCACTCACTTGGAGGCTTTTCCTGCAGCTCCCATTGGCTGGAATCACATCCAATGTGAGCAGCATGGAGAGGTGCCTGGAAGCTGGGAGGGACAAAGAGCTGGATAAGGGCCCCCCATCCTCCTCATGCCAAGACCCCCTACCTTTATCCTCCTCTCACACATCCCTCCCATCCAGACCCCCCACCTGCACCCTCCCTCCCACCCAGACTTCACCCTCTTACTCCTTCCTACACCCATTTTGTCATCATGGGTGGTTGGCTGGTGGTCTACAGGAAGGTATGCGTTGATCAGAGTGGGCCACGGGCCAAAAAGTTTGAGAACCGTTGTCTTAAGAGAAACCAATTTTTAAAATTCTCAAACTTCTTTAAAACAGCTTTTCTCTACAAATACGTTCTGTAAACAAAATATTTTCTGTATTGCACATTGTTGTTAATTCACACTTGTTTAGGATGATCTTTTAAACTCATTCATTACTTTATTTTTTGGATATAATTTGGCTAGCTCAAACTCGTATGAATCTTCTATACTTCACTCTGTGTTTGGGTGTGTAAAATAAATGCATTCATCCACATAATGGTTTTAGATGTATCATTGTAAAAGGCACTGCTATGCAAATGGTACATCATGAAACAGGTTTTAACCAAAAAATGTTGTTTTATTAATGCATGTGTTTTGTATAAAAGGGACAGTTTTATGAACAACCATTTAACTGATTTGTATGCTTTTTCTTTTGATTTTTACACATTAAAATGGTATTTTATGTCGCATGTAGGCATTTCACAGTGCCAAAAGTAATAACTATAATTCGTTGTATATTTTTAAAGATTAAAATTGATTTAAGTTATTTAGATAGGAAATAGATTCCATAACAGTGGAACTTAGTTATTAAAACTGTGTTCCCTGAATTATTCCAGTTTATATATATTAGGCTGTACTAAAGACTGATCAGACTCAGCATGAAGTCCTTGTGCTTTTGAAGTCTTAGCATAACTCCAAATTGACTTCAGTAGAACTAGGATTTAGTGACTCGAGAAAAGAAAGGGGAAGCAAATCAGGGAGTTGGTAGGTCAGTATTATTAAGGGCTTTGTAAGTAAGAACAAATATTTGTAAAGCAAAGCACAATTTTATATTGGTAGCCAATAGAAAAATAAATAACCCTTGTAGAGTGTATAATATTCGGTAAACTCACATAAGCTCTCTTTTGGCTTTTTACCCTTTAAGCTGATGGCGTTGCTTTGGGTGCAGCAGCTTCTACTTCCCAGACCAGTGTACAGTTAATAGTGTTTGTTGCAATTATGTTACACAAGGTAAGTCCTGATCATAAAATCTTACTTAAAAAAGAGAAAAGAAAAGTTTGAGTCTCTTGCTTGAGTTAAGCTCAGTATGTGGAGCTGCAGTGAAGTGCTCATGTGGTAATATAGGTTGAACCTCTCTTGCCCAGCACCCTTGGGACCTGACCAGTGTCAAACCAGAGAAATGGCGGAATCACAAGAGTCAATATTGTCTAGCAGCATTACCAACACTTCCACTGCTTACTGGGCTCTTAGAAGATGTTTAGGGGGTAAATTTAGAGCTAAATAACAGCACAGAACATTAAGAACCAGGGCTGGTGGCTGTAAACAGACTTTATGGGAATGCAAAAAACTTGACTACAGCCATGATAAATGGACATTCAGCTAACTAAAATCATGCCTGGACCAGAGAGTGCTGGACTAGAGAGGTTCAACCTGTACAAACCAAAGGATTAGAAAACATAGTATAATATTGAGTGGCTTTGGGTATCAATGGAAGCTAAATCCAGCCAGTCTTGGTGGGGGGAGGATGAATTTCAGGTGCTCCTTGACCAACCCAGTCCCCTGCTTCCCAAACAACTGTCTACAGCAGACCTGGGCAAAATACAGCCACAGGCCGAATCTGGTCCACCAAGCCACCAGATCAGGCCCGCAGAGGCAGTGGGGAGCCTCAGGCAGGCTCCCCTCATTGCTCCGCAGCCCCGCGCGCCATGCAGAAATGCGGCTGCAGGGCTCCCGTTTCTGTTTTAAAACTAGGGGGAGGGGGGAAGTTTCAGGAGCCGTCCCGCTCCCAGCACATTCCCATTGGCCAGTTTCTGAAACCAGCCAGTGCAAGCTGTTTGTTGGAAGGCAGGCAGGCTAGTTTGGCAGCTGATAGGTAAGTCTCTTGGCCACAGCCTGCTTCTGGCACCACAGCTCTTTCCTGTCCCAACTCTCTGCTCCCCACCTCCCACTCAACCTACCCAACCCCTCTTTCCCCTTCTTACACCCATACCCTTTCCCAGATCTGGCACCCCAATCTCCTGCCCCAGATCACAATCCCCTCCTACCCTAGGTCACATCCCAAAGCCCTGCACTCCAGTCCCCTGCCCTAGGTCACAACTGCTTCCTTCACCCAAACTCCCTTCCAGACTCCAGTCTCCCTCCTGCACCCGTCCCTTACCACCAATCTCCCCTCTGCACCCAGCCTCCATCCCAAACCCCACACCTCCTCCATTAATATCATGGAAGAGTCTGGCTATCGACAACTTTCCAAAATCTTGGCGTGCCCTCCCCCCCCATCAAAAATTATTGCCCACCTCTGGTCTACAGCTTACACCATGTAAGAGAGAGACAGAACAGTATATTGACTGAAGGAAATGTAGCAGCCACACAAAACTGTTGAAAGTAGAGTGAGCACAAACAGAATTTATTCTTGGGACAAACAGATTTTATTCTTGGGACTCCTAGGGCTAGTCTACCCTACTATGTTACATGTGGCCAGCTGCACTGATGCAGCTGTGCTGCTGTAGTATGTCTGGGGATGGTGCTCTCCTTTCAACATAATTACTCCACTTCAACAAATTCCCTGTATAGGAATCTCTGTGGAGCAATGGGGGCAGGAAGTAGGGGTGTGCAGAGCTTTTTGGAGCTAGAGAAGGTTCCCAGGGCTGGGACTGACCTATCCATGGCTTCTCTATGTAAGGAAAGAGGAAATCTTCTAGTGCCCACCCCCCCACCCTCACCCTGAAGCCCAACTAGGACTAGCAGCTGGAGCCTATAGCTGCTGCATTCTGGCAGAGCGTAGGAGCCACTGGGGATATGTGTGCATGTGTCAAGCCCTGCCCTGTCCTTCTTCAGTTCTGCGCTCATCATGATAGTGGTGGGACAGTCTTCAATGCACACGCATCTCCATCCAATGTGTGTGGTCATACATGTCTCCCCAACTGTTCTTGATGCCCAAACCAGATGCATCTGCTCATGACTGCTGCCTGCAAGGGGTGCATGAATCAAATCTGTGTTGGATTTTAATTCTGTGCAGAATTCCCCCAGCAATAATGTATTAAGTGGTCTGTAGTAAGGATATTAAATTGTGTTTAATCAGCTAATCGAATAGTTGATGGAATTTCTATTGACTACTCAATTAGTTGATAAAGGGGGAAACTGCAGAGCCACAGTGGGCTCTGCCTTTTAAATGTAGTAAGAACCACCCAGCTCTTACTACATTTAAAAAGCGGCGCAGCAGAGGGCCGGGCATGAACCGGGACTCAGGAGTCCCAGCTCGTGCCTAGTCCCCCACTGCGCCTCTGCCTCCCCTGCTCTTCCCCCACAGAGACGGTGCAGGGGGGAACCAGCTTTTAAGCTGGCTCCCCCAAGCACTGGCTCCTGCTCGCCAGCAGCAAGATAGCGGGGAGAAGCAACTAGTCAAGTAGTGACTCGACTAATCGCTTACATCCCTAGCCTGCAGTCATTTTGCATCATTAAAGTGTAACTGTGAGGTTGAAAGGTATACAGACATCTGTAGCAAAACTGAATATAGCTCCTTATCCTATAATAAGTATTTTGATATTTCTTCCGCTAATAAAGTAGAAATACCAAATCCCAAAACTTGGGCAAAAGTCTTCCAGTTTCCCATTAATATTAAATTACTCATGTGTTTGTTCAGATCTTATTATACTTGGTATGGAAAAGACTTACTGGATCTACTTCTCAGGCAAGGGCTGGATTAACTCTTCTGGGGTCCTGGGCCTATTAGATGTTGTGGGACCCTTAGTTTATGGGATAGGACCAAAATGAGGGGTCAGTGTATGAGAGGTGGCTGCAGGTTGAGGTAGGAGGGTGTGTGCAGAAGGGGCTCTGACTGGGGGTGCAGGCTCTGGGATGGGGGTGGGAATGAGATGTTTGGGGTGCAGGAAGAGGCTGCAAGCTGAGGCGAAGGGGTTTGGAGTGTGGGAGTGAACTCTGGGTGGGAGTTAGGGTGCAGGAGGCTGCTCAAACTTGAGGCGTGGGGTCTAGTAGGCTCTGGTGTGGGGTGTGAGGTCTGGGAAAGAGAGGCGTACAGATAGTTCGGATTAGGAAGCCTAATCCGAACTATCTAGTCCGTGCCGCGTGTAGCCGCGCGGCACGGGGTTCGCACTAGCCGGCTTTTAAAAATGGCGGCGCCGACTTTATGCTAATGAAGCCCGGGAAATTCAAATCCCAGGCTTCATTAGCAAGTTCGGTATGCATACATTACCCCCCTAGTTCGAACTAGGGGGGTAGTATAGACATATCCTCAGAATGGGCTGGGACAGGGGTTAGGGTGCAGAGAGCTTACCTGGGGCAGCTCCCATTTGAGGGGGTATAGGTGGCTCCACGTGGCCTGTGCTGCACTGTGCTTGCCTGCAGGTGCTTTCCTTCGCAGCTCTTGTTGGCCACGATTATTGAATTACGGCCAATGGGAGCTACAGGGGCAGAGCCTCCAAGCAGGGGCAGAGCGGGGAAAGAGATTCCCAGTGCTTGTGGTGACACAGCTCCAGGGGAGGAGAAAGAAACAGCAGCACTGAGAGCTGCCTCTTCCACCTGCTCTCTCCTATGCATGGAAAAGCTTGCTGGAACACAGTGGCTTTAGTAGCTGTAGCCCAGGGCCCTGGACTAGGGGAGCCTCGGGCTGCAGCCCCTAAAATCCTTTTCTTAATCTAGCCCTGCCTCAGACACAGTGTGGCACGTCTAATTTGTATGTGCAGCTATTGCATCCTACTGTTGTTCACAGTTATTAGTTAAGCCTGCATTTCTCAAACTGTGGGCCCTGACCCCCTGGGAGGGTCGTGAGCAACTTAGAGGGGGGTCGCGGTATCACAAAGTTTGAGAACCCCCGAGTTAAGCATTTTGTTCATACCTTTTGCTTGTGTAGTTGCATGTCTAAAGTGTTTGGAAAATCAGGTCTGCTTTTCACTTGTGTAGTAAGTGATATCGAAAATGAAGTTTTTAAAAATGGGTCATCGAGGAAATGAGATGCTAAAAGTTTTCTTAATTCAATTTTTTTTATCTTCCTTACCTCTTTCCCAATGACTGCTACTTTTCCCCCCACCTATCTTCTTTCCTTACACATACTCCCCTTCCTACAGATCAGCAAGCTTCCCCTGCAGACAGCTGAAATTTTAGTTTACAGATTGGGATTGTCCTAGTGTAGCACCAAATATTATAGTTCTTGTGGCTTGTAGGGAAGGAACTAGACTGATGACAGAGAGAGAAGTAGCAGCATCTGGTCTTGCTTCCACTGAAGTCAGTATCAAAGTTCTCATTGATTTTAGTTCAATCAGAATTGTACCTGAAGGAGGGAAATGAATCAAAAAGATTTTTAATCTTTTGCTGATTATTGTGGAAAGGGTAAGGAAGATTTAAAACAAAAAAGAATTCAGCTTTTAATCTTTTACTGACAGTTTGACAGCCTTTTTCTTTGTTTCTATGGCATTTTTTCTTTCGTGTAAATGCTGGATTTTGTCATGCCTCAGTTGAAAAAAAGGAGACACTCAGGAGGCATATTTGTTTCTTGCAGGTAGTCTAAAATTCTGATTACAAAAATTGATCAAAGCAAATTTTGTTCATAACAAAGTGATTATAGTTAGAACCCTGCACAGATTCAAAATTTGTATTTGTATCTGCAGAAATGAGCTGTGGATATCCTCATTGATATTTGCAGATGCAGGTAGTAAATATAAAGCGGCTATGTGCAGATTTGCAGGATTCTAGATACAAAATTGGTATCTGCATCCATAACTGCAAAATGAGCTGCAGATATCCACATCCGTGGTTGCAGATACCTGCAGATTTGCAGGGCTCTAATTATAGTAACAATCCTAGCATTCAGCAATATGGATTCATATGCTGTATTGTTATTATGAAATAATAACATCCAGTGATTATGCAAATAAGATAGCCAGAACCAAAACATATTTAAATAATTACAGAACTGTTATAGATCCGTAACCATAGAGTATCCTTACACTCTGGTTTGGAATATTCCAGTTCAGTGTAGTTAATAGGAATACCATATATTTATCACAATTTTTTTTGTACTTAGATGTCTTAAATTACAGGGAGTTGTAGCCAAGAAGATATTGCACTGACTATTGTTCTTTTACAGGCACCAGCTGCCTTTGGCCTGGTTTCCTTCCTAATGCATGCTGGGCTGGAACGGAATCGAATCAGAAAACACTTGCTGGTCTTTGCATTGGCAGCACCTGTTTTGTCAATGGTGACATACTTAGGGCTAAGCAAGGTAAATTTTTGGGATATAATTCTGTTGGGAGCTTAGCAATTGGATTTTGGGGGGGGGGGGCCCCATGAAATTTCATACTGGACTTGTGGAATACAGTGGAATACATAGCTCCAAACTGCTTCACACACACACCCAATACATTTTTCCGTATCACTCGGTGTAACTGGGACATTCCTGTCATTCAGTTTGCAAGTTTATGAACAAAATTCTCAGAAGAGGAAGATTTCATTTGTTATAACTAAACAAATACTTTCCCCCAATTCTGTGGCCTTACAATTGTGCTGGGGAATCTAAGCTTTCATTTTAAGAAAACCTAGAAATCTCAAAACACAATGCACTGATATGACCTTTAGACAACTTGCCCTCCCACAGGGTTTGGATGTTTGACTGTAGCAGTCCAAACACGTCAGGTGATCTGTACCTAAACACTTCTAAAACATTTACTATTTATTTACATAATAAAATTCTAATTGTAGAATTGTGCATATACCAGATGTACTGTGTGTGCAGTGTGGACTCTGCTTGAGATAGGACAGGTGTTCCTTTGAAAAATGCACTATTAGTGACCATACATCCTCCTCTAGGAAAAGCTCACCATCTGCCTAGAATGAACACCCAGTAATGTACTCATTAGGCTAAGCTTCATTTTTTTCATCTTAACCAGTTTGTAGTAAGTGTATTTACATGCACTAGTGCAATTGCTCTCAATCTTTCCAGACTACTGTACCTCTTTCAGGAGTCTGGTTTGTCTTGTGTACCCTCAAGTTTCACCTCACTTAAAAACTACTTGCTTACAAAATCAGAGTAAAAAATACAGAAGTGTCACAACATACTATGACTGAAAAATTACTTGCTCACTTATTTTAACCATATAATTATAAAATAAATCAATTGGAGGAATATAAATATTGTACTAACATTTCCATGTATAGTATATACAGTAATATGAACAAGTCATTGTATGAAATTTTAGTTTGTATTGACTTTGCATGTCTTGTTATGTAGAACTAGGCACGTATTTAGGTGAGTTGATATATGCCCTGGAAGACCCCTGCTAGCCCCCAGAGATGTACTTGCATCTGGTAGAGAATCGCTGCTTTATTATACACATGTGTAACACAGTTTTTACATAAATGCCTGTTAACTTATATTTAGAAGGTAGGATGTGAGAGGTTGATTTGATTAGTGCATCGTATTTGTCTTCAGAGATCTGTCACCCAAACAGCCTAAAATATTGCTTAATATGCAGAGCCTAATTATAGATTCAAAATACACTAAGTGTAGAACCTTCAGCACACTTCTTAGCGCTATTGATACTTCAGAACTTCCATCCTCTAGTTGTTCAGTATAGTTGAGACAATGACCTAAGAAACTTGCCTAATACAAAGCCTGACATGTCTTGCAGTGAGTAAATAAAGAAGACTGTGCAGTTTGGAATTGAAGTCTCTTTTCAAGAGATGTAAAGAGAGTCTATAGCCAAAAAAAAAAAAAAAGGTTTAGATGCGTAAATCTAGTCCCTAACATAGTGTTTAAAGCTGCAGCAAAAACTAATTAGAAATCAAGGAATAAAAATGGTAGTACTGTCCATACGTGAGAGGTGAAAGGAGACTGTCATGTTCTATGTATATCACAAAGTGACTTGTCTATTTAAAATTACATATACTTTCTAACCAAGAACTTTTCTCCTACGTAATGGTATATTTTGTGTCATGTCATGCCATGCCTACATGACTTGAGATTCAGGTCAATTCAGAACATTGTAGTATTCCTTCTTGCCTTTTGTGTGCCATTACACGGTGTTAATTTTGAAAGGTCTCAACTGGTTCCCCTTCCACTACAGTTTGCTCTTCTCATGTTGAAGGACTCCATCTCTTTGCAACCTTTGTTCTGTCAGTTTTGATCATCCCTTCTATGTCAGATGCTGAATTTTATACTAGCTGTCTAAATTAGCTGTTTTGCTTTCTTGATTTCCTATCTCTCTATGTAAAAAGAACAGCTCAAAACCCTAAGTTATTCACAAATAGTGAGCAATCAGCCAGGTCGCTGTACATGTGCTTATCATATCTGTCCCATTCTGAATGTTCCTGAATACTGTCACCTTGGTCTAACAACTCCACTGCTATAATTGCTGTAGGATCTATTGATAGGTCATTGCTTTTCGATAGGCTAAGAACTGAGTTTTCAGCAGCATTTTGGAAGAATGGGAAATTATGGAGACAGAAATAATTATAAAGCTATTGCCATTGTAGATGCAAAGAATCCCCCTCTGCTTTCCAGTATTGGTAGCTTCTCATATGTCAGAGGGATAGGTCAAGAATATACCAAGAAATAAGATCACAGAGTTAAATAGGAGCTTAACTAAAGAAGAACATTAAAAATGAGTGGACATTTTTTTGCATTTTATTACCTGTGCTTTTGTGTAGAGTGATCCTAGTCCTAATATGGCAGAAGTTTTTCTATAAATGGAGAGAGATACTAAAATAAAATGAATCGAGGGATTCTTAATAATTCTTAATATATTAGATACATCCCAGGTATATAATAGGTTTGTATATACCTCCTGGAAAATGCACAATGCTTGTTGTGCTTACATTTTAAATACTGTTGTGGGGGGGCATCTATGACCTGAAGTGAGTAGCAAAACTCCCATTAACGTAGTGGGAGGAGAATAAGGCTTTTAAAAACTTGAGATCATCTTGAAATCTAGTTATTTAAAATTTGTCTTCAGTATCCGAGTGCCATATTTTGGGGTTTTGCAATTTAATTTTCCTATTTTAAAAATATATTTTGCTCTTCTGTGGCTGTGTGAGACTCACATGCGCAGGGGTAACTACATAAGAAAAACAGTTCCATTTATTATACACACGGTACTGCCAAGTGCACAAAGTAAACAAACTAGAAAATAAGATATTTTTCCTCTAATCTTTGTCAGTTGTTGTCATAATGCCAGGTGCTACTTGAAAGTATAAGTTGTTAAAACATTTTTAGACATAAATGTATTATTTTTTTTAAAAAAAAGTCACTTCAAAAGAAAGAATGGTTTTTATTTATTTGTTGAGTCTGTTGTAGTTTGGATACATTTTCACTCTTTTCCCTTCTTTTTCTTTCACAGAGCAGCAAAGAAGCCCTTTCAGAAGTTAATGCCACTGGAGTTGCCATGCTTTTCTCTGCTGGGACTTTTCTTTATGTTGCCACAGTGCATGTCCTTCCAGAGGTGGGAGGAATGGGGCATAGCCACAAACCTGAATCAACAGGTGGAAAAGGACTCAGCCGCTTGGAGGTGGCAGCCCTGGTTCTGGGCTGCCTTATTCCTCTAGTTTTGTCCATTGGGCACCAGCACTAAAGGTATAGAGTCACTGTTCTTCTTGATCTGGTGTGAGCAGTAAACGTCATCTGCTCTTTTCATCGTTGTCTCTCTTTTCCCATCATCCACCCCATTTGCGTTATGGAGTTCAGAGAGAAGCTTGATTCCCACATAAGGAATTCTGGAAAAGCTTTTAGTGTAGCAAAATGTACTTTGGCAGCCGGACATAAATTTTATGTAATTCTTTTCTGAAGACATTTGATATTTTCATTTTGATTTCTGGCCCTATTCTCAGGGAAGATGGACTTTGACTTTTAAAAAAGGTGCGTGGGAAAAAATTTAATGGCACATCATGAAATTGTAATCACCAAATATTCTGTAACTCAGCATTCACAGCTGAGAATAAAACGACGGATGGATGCCTTTTAATTTATAGAAATCTTCTTACCCATAGAATAGGAGAGCCTGCCCTACAATTTTTTATGTTGTATTGACATATGTGACTGGTCCTTGTAACATCAGTGCCACAAGCCATGCTGTAAAGATGCAGTACTCAGAATTCTGGGTAATGCACTTATTGCAAAAGACAAGAACTGCGGATTCAAAGAAACATTATTGGACAAAGATGAGAGGAAGTCTAAAATGTGAAAATTCAAATAGTTGAGAAAATGGAGATGACTTTTGCGTTGCATTCCCTGGATTAACACAAAGGAAAGAAACAAAGAAGTATTCTTTTTTTACTCGGTTTATGCAATAGCTTGTTATATTATTTTTAAAGAGACAACGTACTTTGGAAGAAGATCTCCCATCATGTCCATAAAGAGCAGCAAGCAAAATTGTAGAGAGGGTTAAGAATCTGGCATTAGGGCTGCCCTGCTACTGTCCTGGAGACACAAATACATGGTGGCTTGTTAAATCAGTGTGTTTTAGGCTTGGAGTAGAGGCCTGATGGAAATGGGGTTTGAGGGATTAGAGAACTATATTAGCTTATGTACAAAGGGCTGAAACCAGTGGTCTGTTTTATTTTTGTATTAAATAAAAAATAATAAGGTTAACAAAATAAGATCTCTGGTTAAATACTCAGACTGTGTGCATATTGGCATGTGCGCAGTGTATGTAAACTAATTAACTGCTTTGCTAAATCTTCATACCACCAAGTAAAAATAACTTTGTTTTTTGTTGAGAACCTATTTAAATTATACCCTTCTCTTTTGGGAGTGTTTTAATCCACCACCTCTTGATTATGGTTAGTTATAGTGATGCTTCTCTGGGACTCAGTGCCAACTGCTGATGTGACTAGCCCATTGCAACTGGCTGATAAGACATGCCTTCTCTCATTAGGCAACTTTTTAAATTATGCAAGAAATCATACATTTTAATAACTGTAATGCTTATACATTCAGAACAGTTGGCATGCACAGATTTAAAGAACAACTCTTGTTTTACAAAAATTGCTTTTATCCTGCATCCATTTTAAGCCCTAGTCCAAATCTGTCTGTACTTCTTAAATGTAATATTGCCAAAATGGTTTTGTGTTTAATCATTTTCTTTATTTGAAACACATCTTCAGAGCTTGAAATCACAGCTTTCTGGAGGAACTTATAGACTCCTTGTGAAAGAGAGAGCTTCTTTCTTCACTCTCCATCTGTTTCTTGTAGTACATGAGCCATCATAGCTCTTGACATCTTTACTTTATTACATCCTCATTATCTTCTAGCTCAGCAGTGGGTATCAGCATGGCTCTTGGAACAGGATTTGTTAGTTTAATTAGTAATCATTCTGTTCAGTGGCTTAGAAGCACAAAAACAGTAAACCAGGATCAGATTTTAATAGTAATGGCTGCTTTTTGTTTTTTATCTTAAGAAAGGTGGATCTGAAAATCAATGCAGAATTTTTAGACTGTAGAAGACCTTCCCACAAGGCTAATTATTTTAAGGTCAAAAAAGTATTCGGCCTAAACCATGATAAATGATACTAGGCCTTTAAAATGTTTTGTGTTCTGAAAAGCAATGACAAAAATAGCATAACCTAACTGACTAGATCAATTCCCTCTATACCTACTTTCTCAAGAGACACATATAGTTTACTTTTTTACTCCCATTAGTCATGAAAAACCAACATGGCCCAGCTAGGGTTCTGGATTCTGTTCCCTCTGTGTCACTACACTTGTGTAGCTATTTGCAACTTACAAACCAGTGCAAATCCACTGTTGGCAGTGATAGTGCACAAAGATCACTGAGGGCATAATTGAGCCTCTAGAACCTCACAGACAGGTGATGGTGACAAGCACCATATAAAGAATCTTGGTCAATTCAGACTTTTTGTAAATTTGTAGGGCTGGCAGTCACCAGTTCTGTTTGTAAACAGTGGGATGGTAAGAGGTGCCTAACTGGGTAGTCGTGTAGTCGATACAAATTGCATCAACTACACAATTAGTCAGTAAGGGAAGTGCTCCCCCTGCTGCGGCTTTGCAGTTTAAATGTAGTAAGAGCTGGGTGCGCAGGCAGCCTGGCTACTAGTACATTTAAACTGCAGAGCCGCAGTGGGGGTAGCTCCTGGACCTGGCATGAGCCGGGACTGAGCTGGCCTTGCTCAGTCCTGCCTTGTGCTGGGTCCAGCAGCCCCTGTCTGGCTGCTGCAGAGCAGCCTCTGTTCATGGTGAGCCCCAGCCTACCCTACCCCTCCCCACACTGCTGCCTTTGAGAGACAGCAGCAGGGGAAGGGAGCAAGTGGCACCACGAAGACAGTGCTGGAGGGAACCGGCTTCTGTTTCCCCTCTTCTACTCCCCTTGCTGCCTCTATATCAGATAGTCAACTCGACTATCCGATAAGCCTAGGCTTATCAGGTAGTTGACTAATTGACGACTCTTCTACATCCCTATTGTAAACTGAGCAAATCTGATCCGTAGTTAATGGCAGAAAATGAAAATGGAACTTCCCTGGTGACACTTATGCAGTTACTTTTGGGGTGGAACCACAATTTGAGATTTTGTCCATTTTTCCCCCAACATGTGGCTCTGGTTCTCTTTCAACATCTGTGTCCGCTTCAGCCATCATTTCATCTCATGTCACTGTAATGGTCAGAAACCTATACATCCACTGTAGATAGGAGTCCCATTTACCATATTTTCCTGCCAGGCTGCAATATTCACCAGGAACCTCTCTCTGTGGACCATTGCTTATTGAGGAGGAGATATTTGACCAAATCTCTCTCCCCCCTGCTGATGTAGCTTCTGGCAGGTTTACTATAGTGATAATCATCTTCTTGTTGGCATTGCTAAGAGGGTTTTGTCAGACTTTTTGAAACAAACACTTCATAAGATCAAGTCTCCAACTTCTGGGGCAATTGCTAGTAATAATGAAGCTCTGTCTAGTATTGTACAAACTAAGCTTGAGAGGCCAGAGCATTAAGAATTATTGACCAAGATAGAACAGCTGCAAGAGTCTGAGGATTCACAAATTAAAATGTCTACAAGCAAAATGGGGACAGAAGGCCCACAGTAATGTGCAATTTTCACTTTGTTGTTTAGCAAAGTGGTATAAGATGTATGTTTTTTCTTGTCCACTTAGTTAGCTTTATTGTTTTGGCTGCCTTAATTGTGTATATCTGATTAATTGTTTAAACGTATATGGCTGAGAATGCCACAGTCAACCAGGGGTTTAGGGATTATCTGAGATATATATTGTAGCAGAATGCAAAGTTGTGACACCTCAAGTGGCCAAATCTATCCTAATTGTAGTTTCTCATAGCAAAATTAAGATTTCAGTTAAATGTGAGGAGGAATGAAAACAACATTTCTGATCATACACCCATTCTCCCTGTCTATCTGCCACAATAAAATCAATTATCACTTATAGTCAGGACCATCTCTTGTCAATTTTCATTCCTCAGGAAACTTTAGTCACTATTCAGTTCTTCATTATACTTCCATTTTTTACTTTAATTCCCATCTTGCTTTCAGTTGTGATAGAGTGGAAAATAAGTACAGCAAAATAGATAACACTGTAACTGATTGGCTTCCATTTTCCCCTTCTTTTTCCAAATTCGATCCTCAAATGAAAACTCTCCACATCAGCCAATTTATGAGTTCCTGATGGCTGAGTTGATACTAAAAATCAGTTAATTACATCTTGTGTTAGTACCAATGTATTCAGCTACTTCGTAGACAGTTCTAATTTCAATCTTGTTCCTCATGTAATAAAGGCAACATTTTTTCAGTACCTGATGACAACTGAGATACAGGAACTTCATTTGTATTTGCTCATGTGAGAATGGCAGGGCAGTCACACCAGGATAAAGATGTTTTGATAGCTGCTCCATGTATTGCCACTTGGCTAGGAGTTAAGCACAGGAACCTAGTGTCTACATGTGAACTTCAAAGAGTGCTCCTGTGTGGAATATCTCAAAACCGCAACATCAAAGAGACTCAGAAGAACAACAATATTTGTTCATGAACTGCTGTAGAGAATGGTGATTGTCTTATAGGATTTCTTGGGTGGCTGACTTGTGCCTTTAATGTCAACTGTACTTGGAATAACATGGAGAGGCTATGGAATAACTATATTGCTGTTGCTCTCATCTACATTGTCTTCTTGATCATCCTTGGGCAATTTTTGGGGAGGAGTTTGGTTGCTTTTGTCTGTGGTATTGTGGGGACTAGGGAACTCATACAATGAATTTCAGATTCTGGTAAGTCCATCTTAAAGTTTTAAAAATGTCAGCTTTTCTCATTTTCCTTTGGTTACATCTTCCAGCAACTCAGGCTTTCCAGGGAGTAAAACTGCCTGGTCACTGCAGTTGACATGACTCAGTTGACATTACTGAGCTATAATTTTATTGTCTTTTCAAAACCATTTGTACACATGAAATCATTCCATGAATGGCTGCCTTATTTTTTTGTTTTGTTTTGTTTTCCACTTTAATTGTGAATGGTTAAAAATGTTGTTTTTTGATTTGTTTTATTATATTAAATTTTTATTAGGTGCAGTGCTTAAGAGTTGGCTTCTCATTTATTATATGAGGCTCTGTTAGAAGAGCAGTACACTTCAAGGTAGTACTGCAGAAGACGGGTGCATTTTATTTTTATGTATAGTAGAACCTTGGAGTTATGAACACCAGAGTTACAAACTGACCAGTCAACCGCACCTCTTGTTTGGAACTGGAAGCACACTTTCAGGCAGCAGCAAAGATGATAAAAAAATCAATATTGTGTTTAAACATAAGCTACTGGGGGGGACGGAAAGTTTTAAAAACAATTTGACAAGGTAAGGAAACTCTGTGCTTGTTTCATTTAAATTAAGATGGTTAAAAGCATCATTTTTCTTCTTCATAGTAAAGTTTCAAAGCTGTATTGAGTCAGTATTCCGTTACAAACTTTTGAAAGAACAACCAGACTGTTTTGTTCAGAGTTACAAATGTGTCAGAGTTATGAACAACCTGTCTACCCAAGGTGTTCATAACGCTGAGGTTCTCTTGTATATGCATTTCTGCAGTGCTCCCATCACCGTAATATCTGAGTATCTCGCAGAAATTAAAGCTAGAAAGGAAAACTGCGGCAAGGCAGAATGTCATATTTAAATGTGGGTATGAATGACACACAGATGTAAGTAAGGGCATAATTTGACTCACTTTACAAGATAATTTGTTGCCTGTCTCTGTCTCTCTCCCCATACAGTTAGGAGCTGACACATTGGAAAGGGGTGGAAACTAGCAGGCATGCACCCCTACCTAGCACGTGGAAAGCTGAGCTCTGTGGCTGGGGTAGCCCTAGGGAGAATCTTTGCCTAAGATTATCACTAGCCAGAAAGAAGTTGGGATTAAAGTGGAGGTAATGAGATAGGGATGTCAACGGGTAGATGACCACACGATTAACCAATAAACCTAGGCTTATCAGTTAATCCTGTTGACTACATGCATTTCCCTCCTCTCCCCCCCCCCACATCACAGGCAACAAGGGTGGACGGACAAGAGATGGTGCCCGTGGGGAGCCAGCTGGCTCCCCAAGAGCAATGAATCCGCCTTTCCCTCCTACCCACCCTGCTGCTGCCTCTGATAGAAAGGCAGCAGCGCAGGGTAGCAGAGGACTCCTCGAGGACGGGACTTTGAGCACACTGGCTGGTTGCCTTGTCGCCCAGGGACTACTGAATAGTTGGGAAACCACTAATATTCGATGCAGTTACACAACTATTCAGTTACATGCTAATTAACATCCCTAGAATAAGAGTGGATGTCATCAGTATTGCCAGCTGCAAGTATTCAATCATCATGAATTAGACACCTCTGAAATTATAATTGGCTTAAATGATTTTAATATTAATAGGCAAAAGGCAATGTGACTATTTGACTTTTTTTTGGGAGCCTTGAAGGGAAAATAGCCAGCCAGCAAATTGTGTGTGAGCATTTCAAATTAAAAATTCAGCAGTAAATGTATAAAAAATGTCAGAGCCTCTGCTGGCTTTTGGAAGAGACTGTACTTCTCTTCCCACCTTTGGGCTGTGGAGAAATTGCTATTTTAATCTCTGCCCTGCTGTACACCACATTTCCCTGCAGAGTGGTTTTCTGCCCATTCTGCACATGCTCTTGCCCCCCAGCACACATGCTTTCATGGCACCTCAGTATCCCCCTCTGGCTGCTGACAACAGAGAAAGGTGCCACTCTCTGGCAACATTCCCACTAGCAGAAATGGGAGATATTGGCCATCTCTGCTTAATGGCAGCCTAGACTGGGGCCCGCTTGAATAAGGAACATCATGAACATTTTGAAGAAGAGTCCATCCTTGGTTTCTCTTGAAAAGAACATATGGGTT